TCTTATACCCAAACGTAATTTTATATATGTAACCAAGCTAAATCACGTAAAAATATTCAAAATCGCGACGTTAAAAGAGGTAAAACGAATTATACGTGAGTCTTGTAAATATTTATATTGTCAACAAGAGAAGGATTAAAATACGTACCTCGCTGAATCCCTCGATAAGATGGAACACGCGAATAAGAGTGTAAATCTCCAGGGAAAACTTGTGAGGGGTACGCTTTTATATTGCGTGAAACCGATGTGTCCCATTTTCTGTGAATACCCTCGCTATATTGTTCGTCTGAGGCGTTTAAAATTGGTAATTGTGTAAATATTGTCATAAACTAGATTAAAAGATTCAATCTTGTCAAACTGCGTTTTCAAATGTTAAACAACCGATATGCCAGAAATGAACTTATATTATAGCCCGTTTACATTGGTTCATATGTCAATTAAACAAGTCCATTGAAATCGCCCACACTTCGTATGTAGGTCATGTCGACCAATTTTAATGACCCTATAGTAAAATTTGAATACTATAAACGGTATTTTAGAACTAGTAAGAAATCCACTGTTTCTTTTTCTAAATAAAAATAAATTTCGCAGAATTAATTTTAGTAGACTTGGCACTCTGTCAAAAGGAATAAGAAAAAAAAACATTTAATAGTTTACCTATGACTTGTTCAGAAAATAAAACAAAGCTAACAGGCAAATAAAGAATGTGGCACAAAATTAAATTTCTGCGCAACAAGTAATTGAAGAAAGAAATTCAACTTTTTTCTATTTAAATTATTGCAACCATTTTAAATAAAGTGTACATTTGCCTCAAATTTTAAAAAAGAACTCACCTCAACATCACGTCCGGGAGAGCGGCGCCGCTGTTACTAATTTCACATATGTAAACAAATCTCATTTTCATTGCACACAAACTGGCATTCGGTCAAACTGCACATGTTTCAAGGCTGCGCGGTAACAGTTTTATGATTCAGAGTGTTTATATTATATTTTTTAATTCTTCAATATGCAGAGTACTAAATTTTTTGGAAAACATCCTGGAAAGATTTTTATCAGTCTATTTTAATTGTGTAGTTATTTAGTATAACTTCACAGTATTCTAAACTACTGCGCTTGTTTCTTTCTTTTTAGTTTTTTTGAGCTAATATTTTCATGTATTTTTTAAATTTGTTTTTACGTAATCGGACTTTTTGTTTTTCTTTAAATTATTGATTTTATTTTATATTTTTTAGTTATCTATAGAGCTTGGTGGTAAACTTTTTTTTACTCGGCGACTTGGCGATGAATAAAAGTTTTTTTTTTACCAAATTAATTTGTTCTTCATACTTTTTCACTGTTTTCTTTGTTGTATATCGTTTATACTTTAAATAAAAACTTAAATCAATAAGTAAGAAAATTAGCGAGAATGATTGTTTTGTTAAACAACTTAAAATTGTTATATATCCTAAACTATTATTTAAAATAAAAAATGATAAAAGGAACCTTTTTAAAAAACCTATTCATCGAGTTAAGAATAGTATATAGCGAGAATATAGAATAGTTCATCGATTTTTTTATTTTTTTTATTTTGACAATATGGCGTCTGGTTATCGCTGTGGTGAATTTTGATAACTGTCATGTCTTTAGTGACACTCGCAAGATTAAGACGAATCGATTGACGTAAGAATCGTCTAAATTAGCCTACGCATTTTGTCTCTAGAACGCCACATAGAAACAAACATAACATACATAGACTGATAAACACATTACCCTACTTTGCGTCGAGCAGTCGGATAACTACTTTGTGTCGCGCAGTCAAAATTATGCTTCGAACTTTGAGAAAGCATTGTTTGTTACGAAACCAATTAATTAACCAACAACACATCCTTTAGTTCATATTATTGTTGTATATACATTTAAAGAGTGCGTGAGATGCTTATGAGTACACGTATGCGGAAGGTAACTTCAAAAATTGAAACATAATACTCACACTGCTAGTAGAAATTCTAAAATTTTATGAAAAATTAGTGTGCCATTAGTAAATTGTTAACTGAGTACATGTAATTAATAGTTTACAATCCTAAATGAGACGGTACCAAATAAACATTTATTTAAATTAAAATAAAGTGACTAATCATTCTCTCAATCATCATTGCTAGGAGCAATTTCCGCCGGTTCAGACGGAACTGATGCCAAGAAAAATGTCTCCCGACACTTTATAGACGAAAAGCTGAATGGTTGACTCATACACAATCTGTCACACACGAAAGTTGGGAAAATATATCCAATGTTATTAAACCCGGTCGTCGCAAATATAGAACAGTCGGAGTTCGGTTCGCGGCGCGCGCGCATACGCTTAGTTGACGACACTAATCCGATTTTCCATTAAAAACTAATGCGTTGTTGAATAGTGTTGATTATCATTTAAGTTGGAGTTAGTGATTATTGTGAAGTAGTTAAAGTTTTGTTACATACATAGTGATATAGAAGCAAGAATAATTGAATAAACTTTTTTGTAGGTCTTTATCAACATTTTTGTTGCACGTTGATACACTTATTGTTTATTTATCGTCACTCGTGTAAGAAGTAATTATTATATATTTTTTTACTAGAAATAAAGTTTATTTCAATACTCAAAAGAAAATTATACATTATACAAATGTTCATTCGGATGCAGATCTTAGATTCTTGTGTCATTGCCAAATTAAAAAGGAAAAATACGAATATTTTGGTCTTTGACCGTTTCATTGTTATTCCTTGATGTTTTTGTTGTTTGGTTTCAGTGAAAAGTCTTTATGCGAATTTTATTATTATTTCTCGACAGAAATAATGTGGATGCTATGATTTTTCTCCCTCTGATCACGTTTTGACGACTCTGTGTGATTAGTTTGTTCGCTTGTTTTAAGAATTCAATTTTTCTGAGATCACAGATTCGATTACCTTTTAGATATAATGTAAAAGGTATTATTAAAAAGTTTCGAAGGAATATTTTTGATATTTCCATTGTTGTATTTTAAATTATTCTTATGAAAGTGTTTTCACGGTCTAATGAAATGGGTTTTCAATTTACATGGGCTCACGTCGTAGATTTAAGAGTCTTATGATGTAGCTTTTCTTATTTTTAATGGTGACGAGAAACAATGAAAGTATTAAAATAATTTTACCGTGAAACAACAACGATATCATAACCGGTTATTTTAACAGTTTTCTACCATACGATTCTCTTCGACACAATCATATAGATACAAGTTCGGAGAAGGCGCTATAAAGTCTCATATGCTCTGACTCTGAGACTGTTACTATTACCAAATAGGTAGGTTAAATTGATAATACGTGAACATGTTTACATAACGAAATGTTGGGCGAATCAGCAACCATTGTTAATAACGAAAACCATTTACGTCTAATTTGGAACTCGACTGCTATTCACACGCGTAATATTCGCACAATCGTGAATATACGTAAATTAACACACTAGGTAAACACGATGGAACATTTTCATGTAACAAATGAAGTCTTATTTATGGTTTTACTAAGGACTCAAAAAATTTACTGTGAAAGAAACAAATTACTAAGTTTCTGAGTTTATATCGGGTTTAAATGAGTCTTAATATGTTTTTATCATGTTAAAAAATGGAAAATAGACTCGTAACTAAATTCAATTTCTTTTTATAGCGATAATTAATTAGGTCGTCGTATGTAATTTCATTATATAACGATTTCATCTCGTTTTTTGCAATTATTATTTTAAAATTAAGACAGAAATAAAATTCCTTAAAAAAAATAGTTTCACCTTTCTTTTTATACTTAAATTATTAGAACTCGATGTTCTAATAATTTCCCTATCTTTTCAAGGAAGTTTAGTAAGAGCTCATTTTAACTGAAGAGTGCCGTCTAGCCGGGCAACGACCGTGGTTTTGCACCATGACATTTACGTTTTGGGCTGTCTAGAGCGCATTTATTTGCGTACGTAAATACGTTACTGCGATTCCATTCGGCTGGGAATTTATTTGCTAAATGATGGCACTTGGACTATCATTAACATGATTGGGTGGATACTTTGATATTATTTAGAATATGATTAATTATAGCATTGCAAACAAAAAAGCAATTATAGATTATAAAATTTTGATACAACAGAGTTAAGCGGAAAACATTCATTATTTGGACGCGAGCATTAAAATAGTATTTTGCCTTTAACCAGTGTACGAGATTTGGCTCTTGCTTATGGTCGTTTAGTTTCTAAATTATAAAGGTAAAAAAGTAGAATTCTTGGGTTAGCAATTAATTATTCCGAGTGATGATACGTGAGGACGTTAAAGCGAGATTATGATTTTATTCGTGTTCAACAATATATGAACTTAGAACCTTAATTTGCAATTTTTGGATACCTAAACAGAAACGAATGGGTAGAAATTAAATTAATTAGAACTCCAGGGTTGGACCCTCATCACGGCACTCTTCACCTGTCCAAACCCTGCACCTTCTGTACCGGGGTACGTCAAAACATGTCACGTCATGTTGCGCTGACACGTCGACTTAATTTGGTACAAAAATGGTGGAGTGCTGTCAGCTTTACAGAATCGGATAGGATTTGGACAATTGGCTGTTATTTTGGAATTGGAATATTGGTTTATGGAGTATGACAAAATTCTTTGAATTTCGATAATAAATTGCTATAAAAATAAAAATTCGTTACGCTACAAAATATCATTCTTAGATACAATTAGACATAAGTTTAATTTTTGTGTTCTTGACACTAATATTTTCGAGTAAAGGAGCACATTTATTCAATTTTGTATATATATTTGTATAGTGCTGTCTATCACCTCAAAGGGAACTAAGATTTTCAATACAAAAAAATGAGAGAAGAAACTTATATTACAGTGATTTTTGTGCTGTACTGTTTTATTTACTGAGTGACTATAAATAAACCAATTTGTATCAAAGTGCAAATAGCATTAATGTCATTTAATCTAGTAAACGCCCCCGAGTGAACAAGTTTAAAAACAGATAACAAAATGGAATACGGTATGCTCACAAACAAATTGAAATGGAGTGCTTATACAGACATTTCGATAGTGAAAGACTTTAAAACCACAACATTTACAGTTTCCGATGACAATGGCGAAGAAAGAGACGAAGGCGACAAAGTAAATGAAGCCGAGGAAGTTTCTAATTGTTGCTATGAGAATCCTATTTTCGTTCCCAAGGAAGTTCTAAAGATAAGTGATAGGGACCAACTAATGAACGTTGGGGGGAACTTGGAGGATTATAAGTTTTGCGACAAGTTCGGCGTCGACGATGATGAGTCTGTTGTGTATCTATCCACTAGTAAGGCGGCAAAATTGCAGAGGGCATTTAAGAATGCGGGTTATAAAAAGGTATGTCACTTATTTGTTTGATATGTGATTTAGACTTAATTATTATTATAGATGAATACAAAATGATACCTGCATAGAATATTGATAAAAACAAAAGATTTAAATTCTCACAATTTTTTTTATAAGAAAATAAATCAACACTTCATTTGTTTAAACATGTGGTAACAGTTATTAACTTCAAGTGTGATTCAAAATATTTCTACTAAAATATAGCGTCCAATTATATAGTTCCAATTGGAATAAAAAAAATACAAAAATATACTTACAAATATCAATTAGATCTAAAATTTATCCATAATAGGTCTACTAATACATAGCGTCCTATTATTTTATATTTGTACCTAAAATGTCAATTAGATCTAAAACTTGAATAGAAATATAGGAATCTTGAATTAAACCAAATATGCAATGTCAATTTGAATTTATTATATGGTGAAATTTTCAAAATGTCTGGTAATTTATCGACTATGCCGATGGACATACAATAAGAATTACTGCTGTGTATTTTTAGTTTTTGTAACGGTACATATAATTTTAGACTGTTTCGACTTGTTCTCTTTAAGATTACACAGTTTTTCTTAAATAAATGAGAATACTTTTATTTCAAATAATATAAGCACGGCAGCGGTAATTTGTTTTTACTTTTAAATAAAGGTTTGCAATTCCTGTTCCACAAACAGCAAGCAAAGATTTCTTTTGCACTCGAAACGCTTCAATGCTATTAACTGAGAATTCCAATAAGACTATCCATACCTTAATATTATCTGTATTTACATAACCGTGATACGCTAACGTTGCAGAATTTTCAGATATCGTGTTTTCAAATTTCTTAAAACATATTCATATTTGTCCAATTTGTGACATATAGATTAAATATGCAAATTTCCAATGAATGTGTTCGTCGCTAGTACTCATCTGGATATAGTCTATCAACGAACAGTTTAAACTGTGATTTAAACTATTGAACGAACCAAGCTAAAAGGGACGCAGCCCGTTATTATGACATAGAGGTTCGCTAAGAAAGGAATTCGAAATATTCAATTAATATTAAATTTTTTAGATAGGACTTTGAAATCATAACCTATTTCTTATCTGAAGATAAATCTAAAGTTTTCCGATGCAACTTGCAATATCCAGATTTCCACGTACTAAGGTACGCAGGTAGTACATTAATCTGTTACGTGCCAACTACAGCATACAATCTACAGACAAAATTGTTGTTTAATTTATAGGAAATCTTCCTATGCAACATTGTAAACAACTACCTAACATAGCGCCATTTGAATAGGATTGAAACGACAGTATACATTTCATATTTCATTCGAACATGCCGTATAAATTGTCAGATACGTATAAAATATTGCCGTGTTATAAAGTACGTGTCATAGGATAAACCATTTATGCAGTTGCGTGTGGGGCAGTGTATGTTTCTTTTTTAATTTACGTTGGAAGCGACCCGTGATGTACTAAATGAAATTTTTAATCTGATATTTTAGTTCTGTTAGTAGAAATTTTTTAGCGTGGCTCTGACTGACTTGACCATGTTAAGAATTGTTGAGTGAAATGAGTTATTCGCCATTTTCTGTTAATTCAGAGAATAGCGACTTGCGAGTCAGGAATAAATTACTCGCAAACTATCAAGATTATTGTAAAAGTGCTGCATAATTTCCTCGGATACAGTGATCTATAAATTTTTCAATTATTCCTATAAAAAGAGTATAATTTCAACATGTAAAGAAAAATGGTGTACTTTCGGTGTAACTTTGTCATTTTTTCTATCGAGAAATTTTATAAATGTACACTTTCAATAGGACAGAATCTTTGAAATGTTAGTTGTTTTTGGGTGTATCCATCACAAACAAAAGAGTAAACAAATGTTTTCTTAGTATAGATGCAATTATAAAGTGAATCCAAATAATGACAAAGATTCATCGTTCCTTTTACGTTCTAACTACAAAGAGCAGAAATCTATCGGTCATCTCATCACAGTATGCAATCGTGAAATGAGAGTGGCAATCGAGGCCACAGTTACTATTCGAAATGAGTTTTCAGTTGAACGATCGTATAAAAGCACCTAATGGTGGCTCATATATATCACTTGATTCAAATATAAAGAGTACGATTAAACTACATTTTTGTGAGAAAGGACAACGGTTTATCTATAACTTGAGATTGAAGCTAATATTAATTGAACCATTATATTTTTTTTTATATTATTTACTCGATAAACAGTAGACAATCGAATTTGGTTTAAAAGAATAACCTACAGAGGTTCGAAATGCTTTCATGTTATTTTCACCAATAACATGATAACTCGTGTTCTATTTAGGGCACGAAGATACAGTTTATTATTTCATCGGATAGGAGTTAAAAATAGTTGTTTTTACATTAAATAAAGAACTTATTAACATTTTATTTATGGAACTGTTCCCTTACAATGTTTGTGGTTACTGATGTTATGAAGATCAATCCTTTCTGATCGGGATTTATATCTTCAATTAATTAAAAAAGAATCTAGATGCATCCCTACTCATTAGTTTTCATTATAAAATATAAAATGTTGTCACTATTATTACGTAATTATAGCTACAATTAGTAAAAAAAATTGCTGTAAACGCTATAAAGCACATTTTCATTTGTTTCTATGCCTATTTTTTTCTCGCTTTCATCGTAACAATAGACTCGGAACAAAAGCCTCTCATACACACAGATCGCCTACTAATTGGACAACTCTTGTACCCTAGACTGGTGACTGTTTGCCTGTTAAATATGATTTTTTTATTTGCACTATTTTTGTATGTATCCTACATACAAATGTTAAAATACTACAAATGTTATATATATATATTATATATATATATATTTTGATAACATTAAATATTATTTCCTAAATAAATACTATTCATATAATTCTTGAGTAGCTCGGTGGCGTAGTGGATAAGCGCCGCGGCCCGCGATCGTAGTCGTTAAGCAACTTTCGCAAGGGTCGGTCACGGGATGGGTGACCAAAAAAAATTATTATCTCGAGCTACTCCGTGCTTCGGAAGGCACGTTAAGCTGTTGGTCTCGGCTGCATTTGCAGTCGTTAATACCCTCCAATCCGCATTGGGCCAGCGTGGAGGGTCATGGCCCATCCTCCTTAACCATCCATAAGGAAGGCCTGAGCCCGTGCAGTGGGGACGTAAAAGGGCTGATGATGATATGATTCTAGGGTAAAAGTAAAGAGTTGTGAACGCATCTTTTATCCTTCCTAATCTTCGAAACAATTAGATAATAGTATTAAACTATATCTATTTAAAAAGTTTTTGTAATACACAAGAAGTTCATGGATTCCCGATTCTATAAACGTACTCCTTCATCCAATCTAGATTTAAAAGGACCAATAAAAAATTACGATTATAGATTGTGGTGATACGCGAAAACTGGCAATGAGAACAATTCTGATACGGAACTTGTAAGTCCATTGTTGTTAATTTAATTTCAATGTACAAATGAGAATTTAATTTGTCTTGTCTCTATTGTGAATACGGTAAATTCACTGCGAATTCTGCAGACGCAACAGAGGTTGACAAAAGAGCTCTCTCGTCTCGACGTCGTCGGAGTTTTCTCAAACTACGTTACTTCGTAGTTCAAGCCTTACATTATTTGCCTTCGTTAGAGTATCCATTAGTTCATTGTTGATGGATGTCGCTCCTTTTTAACTGTTTGTGAAGGTAAACATCTTATTGTACTATACAAACTCAATGATAAGACGATGGGGTCCAAGAACGTTTCACTGATTTTATTGCTTGAATGCACTGTTGCTAAAAGAGTTAAAAAATCAGGCAAATGCAAATTGGCCGCAGCACAAAGGTTTCCGAAAAAATGTTGACAGATGACAAAACATCAGGTGAAAGAGGCCAAACTTATGTAATTGAATTTTAACCGTAATTTCTAGGCCTAATATTCCAAGTTTCATGTAGTTGTGATTGAACTTTATAAACTTGTTGCGTTGTTGTTTGTACATCAAAATTTTAATTATAACATTCTATTATAGGTCAAATGAAATCAACGAAAATACTTATATACTATAAATCAGTATAAAATAAATATAACGAGAGATCGAAGAATAGACAATTTTTATAAAAATGTAAAAAATATATATAATGAAAGTGTACCACTTTCGTGCCAACAACAACTAATGCCAGCAATATTGCCTGTGAATCTGGTAAGCCTTCTATTTGGAGACTTACGGGTAGAGCTGTTTCTGAATTCACGTCAGCCCTAAGTGTAAGCCGCACTAAGGCACTCTTAATAACGAACTTGCTTTTCATAATAGGAGTAGGACTAGTCTTGTCAGTCATTGATACAGCCAAGATTGGTCCAGGGTCTCAGAGTCGGGCGAATAATAATATTTTTGTAATGACAATGAACGAATTTAATGTAATATTTTAGTATTTTGGCCAAAAAACTAGCTTTTACATTAAATGGAAATACTGAAAATTGTAAGCAATGAAAACACACGGTGCAATCAATCTGTGTAGAACCAGTGGTAAGAATCTATTATTTAATTGAATATTATTTTTGTTAATTTAGTGTTTTAAAGAGCTATTTTTTGAGTTTTGTACGCAAAGGGTAAAACGGGAACCCTATGAGTAAAACTTTGCTGTCTGTCTCTCACCAGGCTTTATCTTATGAACCATGTAAGTTAGACAGTTAACATTTTCACAGATGATCTATTTCTGTTGCCGCTATAACAACAAATAGGTACTAGAATTTATAATAAAACCTTTCGTGCGCTAGTCCGACTCGCACTTGGACCGGTTTTTCATGAAATCAAAAGTTAATTTTTATTATTATAACACTGAGTTGGATTTTGGATCCGCCTGCACCGATACCAACCTTCATTTCGTGTCGCGACGTTAGTCAGCGCAGACTTATAAATACCAAGTATTCATATTTTATTTCTAAACCGATGAAAGCTAGTATATAGAACAAGCAAAACCAGTACAACGTGTAAC